TTGGGAGTTTTTAAATATTTTCTCAAGATTTGTGCCCGAGGGCATTTTGTTGATACATATCTCCGGCCGAGATTTGTTGTTAACACGACTATCATCGGGGAAAATTTTTTTCATCATTTATATTTGCTATTTGAAAGCTTGGTTATTGAAATAGACACCTTTGATTATGATGTGCAATGACCATGCCGAAAATAGGGGTTTGTATAGAATTGTATTTAATTATTTTGAACCTTGTCAATTTTGCCTGAAATTTTACATAGGATCAGGTTTATATACTTGTATCGCTTGAGTTCATTTAAATATTTTATTATGTTCTATACTTTGTCTTCTCTATCCTTTATGTGTGGAGGGTAAGCTCTCTAGATTAGAACTGGTGTTTGTTTTTTAAAGAAGGGTCGGCCGAGCAATCCAACTCTATATTATCCATAAATTATGTAGGTCATATGTTTGAATAACCATGCAGTGCCCATCAATTAAAATATATGCGAGGCATACATAGACAACCGACCCTTTTTATTGAAACTTGTGGATTGCTGCATAGTTAATGTAACACTTAGGGTTTTCTCTTTATTAAAGGTTTTGAAGGGCTTATTGAAATGTAAATAAAAAAAATTAATGAGATCCGCAACTGAGTTTTCATTTGTGAATTTACTTGATTGAAATGAGAATAGGACTTAAAATCATTCCTAAATCATGATTTGTTTGACTCTGATTACTTGAATTTCTTTGTGGTTCAAGTCTTGTTGACTTTGGTATTTGGGATTGGGATGTAGATTGGACTTGAAATGTTGGACTTACTACCCTACCTTATAGGCAGGGAGACTCGCTTGAAAATGCTTACTGCTTGTTAATGAGTTAGAGCTTGAGTTTGGAAGGGAGGCTTGTTAATTTCAAAATTGTTGCTCACTTGTACGGCTCTTGAAGTGGGTCAAATTTTTTTGTTTTTGTTTTTTGTCTATGTAGTATTCTAAGTTTAAGGTTTGAACATTGACTCACTTATCCGAGAAGATGCAGGCCATTCTATTTTATTTTAGTGCGTTGATTTTAGATTTAAATACTAGTTTATTTATTAGAGCACATATGCTTGATATTGTTGGTAATTTGAAAGGACGGACATGCTTTTTAGTGCTATAGTGTGATTTATTATTTATCCAAATTTAATCATTTGCGTGAATGCATTGCCATTGAAATGCATTTGTAGCTTTTCATTTTGTGTTTTGATTTTTACACTATTACCTCCAGAATGCCTATGTTGCATTTCCAATTGTGATTGCCACGAGCTTTTTTCTTGTGGTGCATCTAGAATCTAGAAAGATAATCTTTTAATTAGAATTAATTCACATTTTTGTTCAAGCAGACCCCATAGGGGGTAATTCCTTTTCTAGAGATAGGGAAGTTGCCTTCGCTTTTTTCATAATGAATCTGAATCTTCATTTCAAAATTCAGGGAGTCCTGGGTGTTCAATTTAAGATTTGGCTCATGATTGTCAACGAGTTGTCGAGTCCCTTATATTGGTTGTTTCAATTTTTGTCCTTGTAGTTCATTTGACATGATATATACAACATTTTGAACATTCATTTTGTTTTTATTTTGCAATATTACATTTTATTCATTTTTATCTTCACTTGATGTTATTGAGTCCAAAATTCATTTTAGTTCTGCTTTTTGTAAGTTTGTTCTAGAGAAATTTCAACAGCCTCTCAATGTCTCTCTTGCAAGGTATTTATGAGAGTGTTGTTCCTGTCCATTAGGCTTAAAAATGTGCATAATCAATCTCCTAAGATACCACGGCTGAGGTTCTTTATACTTACTATGCTTAAACAAGCAAGCATTGGCCTTCAACACTAGCACAAAGAAAGTACATAATAGGATTTTCTTGGTATCTTAGAAGAATTTGCACAATTATTTATGTTTGCATTTTTTTCTCCCTATATTGAGACGATGCATATGAGTATTTATTCTTGGTGGCGTACTAGTCCTTTGTCATTTTACATTGTGCACTTGAAACTGTGTCGACCTGAATTTAGGCAGGGCGATGAGATTGCTACGAACTCAATAACACGTTAGCTAACTTTAGTCTGTTTTGTGCTCTATGAAGTATGCCTTATGATTCACAACCCAAGGGCTGAACCATTGGGGAACTTTTACACTTTGGCCATGATAGTATTTTTTTTGTAGCATTTTGCAGCAAATCACTCGGTCAAGGGTATTGGTCGTAATCATAATTTAGCGTTGCCCTTTTGCTTCAAAATTATGGGTGTCAATTGGCCGTGTTCGGGTCGAATCCGACTTTGACCCGACCCGATTCAGGTTTTGGGTCAATTTTTCTAGCCCGAACCTGACCCGGTTCGAGTTCGGGTCAACACGACCCGACTCGTAATCTATTAGATACATGAAGGAGATTTGATTTTTGGAAAATTAATTTGCACATAATACATGATATTTTGTAAGGCAATATATACAAAAATGAAAAAAAAACTTGTAACTATTGTATAAATTGTTTACAAATTACAATGTTACATTTATTACAAAAATAAAAATACATAATAATTAATGGTTTAAATGTTTAATACATTACATTTACATGATTGCAAATTGCAATTTACAAATAAACTCAAATAGTCAAATTACACCTCCTACACTTCAACTTGAAGATACCATTAAACCTCCTACACTTCAACTTGAATTAACTGCAAAAGAAAGATGATTAAACACTTAAAACTTAAAAGTCAAACAAATAAAAATCATAAAATTCTAAATAATGAGATGGTATAACTAGAAAGCTTTATCAAATAGCTCAGGTTAACCCTCCAACACATTTAACAACTATTGAGAAGTGAGTAAATAATGTATATTTGATTTTTCTAATTCTCTATTACCATCCAAGGCGGCAATTTGCATTAGCCATTAAGCTTAATGTAATATATGTGAAATAATAAAGTATCTGCTCTTGATCTAAGCTAACACAAATGTCATTTGGTTGCAATAGTATTTACCCTAAATGACCGACGGCTCTCACTTTCATAATGACGGGCTAAGGACAACGAAGGTCAAGCAAAGAGATTCCGCCTTCAGATAAGATGTAAATCATGTAATCATATATGAATTTAAATCATGTACTGAGAATTGAGAAATCATCTTTAGGGGTTGTTAATCACGCACACTGCACACAACATCTAGGGCTTTCATTTGAGAAGCTCAAATATGAATTTTTTTGGGGGAAACTTATAAGAAAGAGTTAAAGACTACAAATCTTGCGAAGCAATAATACTAATATGCTATCATCACATTATCTCCAAATGCAAAGCAACAAAAGGGTTATCGGGTCTCGATATATGCCTGTTGCTTGCGTTGAAATACATAACTAAGAGTGGAGAGAAGGAGACTTGAATTCTTCACCTGCGATCGGAGAAATCAAGCCTAAAACCAACACTTAATCACGAAGAACTCAGACGGAACCCTAGGCAAGGGCACGGAGCGAAAGTGCGAAATAGAGAAGAGGAAATGCTAAACTCGAAAGCCTCATAACGAAACACGCGGCTTGCCTCCGTAATATTAATCCTTAATGTATAAATCAGGTTAAAAACGGGTCAAAATCGGGTTGTCGGGTTCACCTGAACATGACCCGAAACTTAAAACCGGTCAATTATTCAAACACTAACCTGACCCATTAGCTAATTGGGTTGACCCGAACCCAGAATTTTTGGGTCGTGTTCGGGTCAGGTTTTCAGGTCGTGTCTAATATTGACACCCCTATTCAAAATCACATGGTTAGAGGATGCATGCCATGACTTTACTATCATGATATTTGAGAGTGACTATAGTGATTTACTTGATATGATGTTAACTCTTTGTATACTTAGGTTATTTTAAAATTTATCACCCTCAACAAACTGTTGCAGAGGTGGATGAATTAGATAGCTAGTTGATCTAAGCTTTAAGTGAATATTTTTGAATTTTGCAAAAATATTTTTGTATTTTTACATTTCTTTGGGATTTGAGCGTAAAATAGTTTGCTTTGAAAATTGAGGGCATTTTGGCGATAAAGATCCCTACTTTGAAATTTGTTATTAACATATACCCATCATTGGGGATTTATTATTTGCATCTTTTATTTTTGCTTTTTGAAAACTTAATTCTTGAAATAGTCCTCTTTGATTATGCTGTGCAATGACCCAGCCTATCAAAAGGGCTTTTAGAGGATTGAACTTTATCTCTTTGAACTTTTATCATCCCTGCCTGGTTGCTTACAAAGGCTCGAGTTCATATATTTGCATGCTTTGAGTTTTTTTAAACATTCATTAGTTCCAAATCATGTCGACTTTACCTTGCATGTGTGGATGATCATGTCCCTAGATTTGAGCTTGTGGCTTGTTGCATATGTGAGATAACCCTGAGAGTTTGCATTTTAAATTTTTTTTTATTAAAATCATTGAAGGCCTCATGAAAATGCAAATAAAAAATAAATTAACGAGATCCACAACTGAGTTTTTCTTTGTGATGTGGAGGATCGGACTTGAAATGTGGGACTTATGCCCCTACCTTGTTGGCAGGGTGGCCTGCTTCAAAATGTGTAACATTTGTTGATGAGTTTTGTTTGAGTTTGAAATGAATTCTTGTGAATTTCAAATTGATTGCTGGTATTTCAAAATGGTGTATGGTTCTGGGAACAGGGTAAATTTGATTTTTTTTTTTAATCCGTGTTCATTTTGAGCCTTAGTCCATGTAATATTTTTCACATCTTGTTTTATATGACACTAGTTATCTTAACAGTTTTTTGCCCTCTTGTTTTCATTTAAGCTGTGAACCTATAGTAGTTCACCCTTCTGCTTTCTTGTCTTTTACATACTTAGTTTCAACTACAGAGTTTATCCTTTGCACACTCAAGGGAGCTTATTACTACTCTGTTTAATGCAATTTTTCTACTTTCTCTCTCTCTCTCTCTCTCTCTCTCTCAGTTTGTAGTACTAATCTGAAGCTGTCATGTTGGCTCTTTGCAGGAATTGGTTGGAAATCTTGGAAGAAGCGTTGGTTTATCCTTACACGCACTTCATTGGTTTTCTTCAAAAGTGACCCTGTCAGTATTCTTCTAGCATTGTCTATATTTATTTGATTTCATCTTCTTAAGGCCTGATAATTTTGTTTCAATAACATGTCTTGTAACTCTTTTTCTGGTAACTTCGTTCTGATGTGACAATCAATGCAAATTTTACTATTTAACTTTGCTCAAATAAAACTTGCAAGCAGATTGCATTAGTGACCATTATGTAAGTGGTGACAGTGATTCTTGTAGGGATGAAGCTTGTGAGCCAGTGTCATTGTTAAGTATGACTTGGTTGTAACACTTCGAAAGCTTATAACTTGGTGTTTTTGTTTTATCACTCCATAGATTTTGTAATATACTCAAAAGTAGCTCAGTTATGAATTCTTAATAACATTTTTCCTGATCCTGTAGAAGGAAGAATGTAGCTTGTTCAAAACAAGTGCTATACAAAAGCTTACGAAATAAATATTGCATAAGCCCCTTGAAACTATTATATTATGTTCGAGTTCTTAATACTTAACTGAGAAAGTCAAAAGAGGAAAGAAAGTTCTTGTGCCATCAAGGACCTTAGAAAAGGTACTTATTGTTGCTATTTGATTCCTTGCAGAGTGCATTGCCTCAGAGAGGCGGTGAAGTTAATATCACTCTTGGTGGTATTGACCTGAATAATTCTGGAAGGTATGCACATTCTGCTTCTTCTTAGCATTTATGTTTATCTCTTGTGATAAAATCGAAGTTATGAAATACTCGTTGAATGAATATTTGCAGTGTGGTTGTGAGGGAAGACAAAAAATTGTTGACCGTCTTATTTCCTGATGGCCGCGATGGAAGAGCATTCACCCTTAAGGTGCTTAGTATGTTGATTACTACATTCCAGTTTTATTTTGAGATAGATTGTTTAACGTTCTTTGTTGTACCTTAGGCAATTTAGATTAGCTGATTATTTTGTTTTAGGATCCCCAATGTATCATATTATGGTTTATTGTGGCACTAGGCAGAGACAATGGAGGATTTATTTGAGTGGAAAACTGCTTTGGAACAAGCCCTGGCACAAGCTCCAAATGCTGCCCTAGTTATGGGGCACAATGGAATATTTCGTAACGATAATAATGATTCGTTTGAAGGATCGATTCAGCACTGTATGTGTTTTTTTAGCTTCTATCTCTTGCTATTGTCAGTTTATATGTTAGCTTATTTTTTTTAGTACTGTGCTAACTGGTTTATACATAAATATTTACTTGTCTACCTTTTTATTTGCACAGGGAGAGACAAGCGGCCCATAAAATCATTGGTCATTGGAAGACCAATTTTACTCGCACTAGAAGACATTGATGGGGCACCTTCCTTTCTGGAAAAAGCTTTACAATTTTTAGAGATTCACGGTAACTTCCAATTGCAATAAATGCTATTAAATGCATTAATATTATATCTGTTTTTACTATCTTAGTTACTTTTGTTGATGTGATGCAACAATTGATAAGCTAGCAGATTTTGCCCAATTTGTGCTACAAGTCATCTAATAAGAAAAATATGGCAAGAACCAGTTGGGATGTGTGGGCAGTTCAATCTATGACGCACAAGTACTTCTACATGGACATTGTATGGATGCAATGTTAGATATTTGAATGCTCGAACGCCCATGGCCATCTATTTACACAGCATTTGGCATGTCTCATTTGGCAAGCAATTGGGTGAGATTTGAATAAAGTTTGCTATACCGCCTGTAGAGAGTTCAGTCGTAAAATTCTTAATAGATTCCATTACAACAAAACTCTGTAACTCAAGAGTGGAATCACCAAATTAGATCCACCATTCAATTGTTTTCAAGAAGAAAAAAGATAATCAGAATTCAGAACTGAATAAAGTATCTTGCATTTACCAAAATAACTATACCTGGAGACCGTTTGGCAATGGTTGATTTTGCTGCATTCACCCATAATTGCGCAATTGAGGCGCGCCTCACACAAGGTGAGGCGTACGCCTCTTCCAGGCTCCAAATTACGTGCGCCTCGAGGCGTATTTGGGAAGAATTGCGCAGAGGCGCACCTCTTGTTGAGCAATTTTAAACAGAGCTCACGGTACATGGTGTATGTGTTTTGGACATAACATACTTAGACTATTTCAATGTATTTATCATAACTATGATTATCATATTTGATTTTGGGGTCCTATAATGGTGAGAATTATGATTTGTCCTTTTATATGTCGTATTTGTAAAAGTTTGATGAAGATGTATTTTGTATCTTCAAATTAAAGATAACACTATTGATTTTTGTCAATGATGTAAAAATTACTTATATGTTAAGCCTCAACAATTTTCATCACAATTTAAGCAAGTTTAAACATTAATTAAGTAGGTGTAAAAAGCAAGTGATATTCTTCTTGTTAATAAGACTAGAGAGGGAGTTGAAGGAATACTTGAATTATGGAGGTCAACCTCAGAGTATAAAGATTTTCGTTTAAGCAGATCTAAAACTGAATATATGGAGTGTAATTTTAGCAGTAACATATTTAATGGCGAGATTGTGATATTGGACGATCTAGTCATTAATAAGAGTACACATTTTTGATATCTTGGGTCTATTGTTCAAAGTGATTGTGAAATAAAAGACGATATGATTAGTAGAATTCAAGTTTGATGGTTGAAGTGGAGGAATGTATTAGGCATATTGTGTGATAGAAAAAGTACTCCGCAAACTTAAGGAAAAATTCTATAAGATGGTGATGAGATTTGCAATGCTTTATGGTGCATAATGTTCGCCATTAAAAGAGAAGCAAAAAAATTAAGTTGACAGTTGCAGAGGTGAGGATGCTTAGGTGGATGAGTGGCTTCACTCTTAGAGATAGAATGCGAAATGAGGATATACGTGAAAAAGTTGGACTAGTTCTAGTGGTAGATAAGATTAGAGAGAGTTTTCTTAGATGGTTTGGACACAAAAAATGTCGGCCGTCTGATGACTCGGTTAGGAGAGTAGATGTATTGAATTTGGCTATATTAAAAAAGGTAGAAGTAGACTTATAAAGACTTGGCTTGAAAATATTAGAAATGATATTTTTATATTAAATTTAGATGAGAATTTGACTCTTTAACATGACACAATAAAAAAAAATGATTCATGTAGCTGACCCTACGGAGTTGGATAAAGGCTTGATGTTTTTGTTCATTACATTATTAATTATGATATTTTATATATTTTTAAAAATATCTTCAATTTCTAAACTTATAGCATTATTTCAAGTCATATTATTTAAAGCCTTAGTGACTATTTTTTGGATAAAATTGGTTTATAGGGTAATACGGGAGGCTTGGTGGTTATGAGAAGGTTTTTCATACGATTGAAATATGTGTAAGAGATGTTTAGTTGAAGCTCTTATACCTTTATTTATAGGCTTAATGGTTCTCTCAATAAATTCAGTAATAAGGATTGACTCGATTGATTAGGCTTGCATAGATTTAGTTGCTTTTCTTGAGTAAACTTGTGATGGCTCAGTAGGACGTGTGTTTGGTATAAGCTTGATTTTTATAGAAGTGATTGGTTTTGAAATAAATTTTGTTAGGTTGAGGAGGAGTCTCGAAGGACAATCCAAGAAAAAACTCATTTATGAATGATATTTTTTCCTTATTAACATAGTTGTAATATTTTTCATCTATAGTGACAGTAGCGAATAGATATATCTTTCTCGTGGAGGAATGATAGCATTTGTATCAGAATATCCAATGAAGACACTTTTAATTTCTTGAGGATCAAGCTTTCCTCTATTTTGAAGTATTTTGGGAACAAGGTTATTTGAGGTATTGAAATTTATAAAGAATTTAGTTAAGACTTGTGTAGGACTTTTGAACTCAAGGAACTTTGTTGGTAATTGGTTCATAGTGTGGGCTAATGTTAAAACTGCTTCACCCAATTATTGTTTTCGGAGGATTTAAATACATACCATAAAACTCTTATGTATTTATATTTCTAAATCCTAAATTTTATATTTATGATATATTGTAGCGCCTAAATCACTACAAAGCATATACAAGAAAATGTGTTTTACTTCAATTAAGTTAATATTAGTGGTATTCTAGATGTGATTTAGAGATTTGAATATTACATAAGTGAATATAAAGATTTAGATGTTAGATATGCAAATACATAAGTATTTTGGCATATGTATGTAAATCCCCCTAATTTTAGATGTTTTTCTTAGAAAGAAAACCCTAGTAGCAAGAAGGTGCTTGTACCTTCCTTTCGGCTCCTCCGTTTTGTTGGAGTGTATATACATAAGTGGACTTATGCATTATTTTTTTTTTCTTGGAAGTATGAAGTGGGATAATGATTAAAATGATTTTTGGCATTGTCATGATCTAATTTTTTAATTTTAACACCAAATTGATTTGTGACCATATTAAAAAGGTAGGAAATATGATTCATTACTGTTGCCTTTTAATATAAAGGTTCTTGACATACTCGTGTAATCATCAAAAAAGAAGATAAGCCACTAAATTCAGATATGTCAGGTGTAGAGAATGGGCCTTATTTATTGCTATGAATGAGAGAAAAAAGAATATAGGTTCTTATGACACTCATTGAAAAATTAGTACATTTGTATTTTTTTTAGTTTACAAGCATCATAATAAAATTCCGTAATATTGATTTTTTTTAATAAAGAAGGAAAATTGCTTTTTGAACAATAGAGGGTGGGTGGCTAAAACGTATGTGTTGAAGCCAGTTTTCTTTTTCAAATTAGATTTAAGGGTTTTTGAGAGTGGAGATAATTTTGAAGATTGTATGAAATTTCATTGATCATTAAATTCCTCAAAATAGTAGAGATAATCTCTTTTTTTAGCAAGCTCATTTGTTTTACTCATACCCCATTCCTAAATGACATACTATGAAGGATAAAACCAATACATCACTTAGAATCTTTATTTTGGTTAGCTTTTGAATGGATAATATGTTGGTGAATAATTTAGGTATATGGAGGACATTTCCTTGTGTTAGGGATTCGTATGGAAAAATATCTTCTTGATTGGCCACGGTGGTTAAGAATCCTTAAGCTATGATGATTTTCTTATTATTAGGGCATCAGGTATATGGAATAAATTTATAAGAGTTATATTATCTGTAGCTTATGAATTAATGATCCAGAAATTGAAAATGGGCATCTTTAAGACTTTAATGAGAAGAGGAGGTTATACCTTGTCTATTGTAGATGTTTTTTCTAGTGCTTCTAGCAGGCCTTTTTCTCTTTATATTCCTTAAAAGTTGACATAATTTTGTTCTTCCTTCTAATAACATGGGACCAAACACAATCACTTCAGATAATTTTTTCCATTCAACTGGCATGTTGAATGCATTTTTTGCAACTCTCCCGTTGGATTTAGGTTGCATCCCTCAATTTAAAGAGAAATCGAGACCAAGTGTATGTGAGTATTTTTATTGTTGTCCATGGAGAGAGAAATTATGCTCATGTGCTTAAGAAAAAATAATATAGAAGGAAATAAATGTAGCTTTGCAATAATGAAGGTTGTGACCGTGTAACGATAAAGACTTCAATAATGGAAATAGTTTGCGGCAATGCAAGGATTTAGGCTAGAATAATGTGATCTTTTTGTGGCAATACAATGATGAAAGCTGTAGTTTTAGAAAAATAGGAGAAAAGGATGAGAGTGCAGCAATGAAGACTTTAGGATTGTGGTAATGTAATGATGAAGGCTGTAGTTTCGAAAATATAAGAGAAAAAACCTTTAATTATGATATAATGGTAATAATTGGGGACTAATTAAGTGTTTTATTACAAAGTGTAGCTTTTATAAAATCATAGGAGAGCTTCTAATAAGAAATATATAAAAACAAGGAATAATGATTAAAAAATAATTACAATTATCCACGGTTGGATTAGCAGGCATTAGGTACCCTATGTAACAATGAGGTGGCAACAAAATGAGGAAAGAAAAATGGCAGAAGTCCTGATAAGTGTAGTTCACTACTGGAAAAAATTATGCAATCTTCTCTCTCTCTCACTCATTGACGCATACAAGTGTGGGGCAATTGGTTTGGGGTTATGGAGAGGAAAATTTTGTTTTTATTTTAAAAATAAAAATTTGAAATACAATAAATTATATTTATTTTTTCATAAAATTTTTATGACACGTTTCCAATATATTTTTTTGATTAGACACGTCTTCAACATGTCCGACGTGCCAGTCAAACATGTGTCATGTTGGATATATGTCAAACAATGCATAACTCTTTAAGGAGAAGTGTCAGTGCATCATAGGTGCATTTATGAAGAATCTCATATTATGATCTATGCTCGATTTTGATATTTATAGCATATTAATGATCCATCATTCTTGTCATTCATGTTGGTCTGTTCACCTTGTGTAGTATTCTTATTCTTGATTCTTTTTTCAATGATTGTCAAAAGGATTCTTTAGACTCTTGTACCCGACTTAACTAATCAAATCTAGTTTTAACTCTATTTCAGCCTCTTGTTCTATTTTTTTCTTTTTATTTTTCTTTTATTTTTTGTATTTCCAAAAAATACTTGATAATTTTTTTTTGTAACTAAGTAAATCGGCCTTGTACATAATCTGTAGGAATAAAAGCAGAAGGGATTTTGCGACAGTCGGCTGATGTTGAGGAGGTTCAGTGCAGGGTTCAGGAATACGAGCAAGGTCAACTGATGCTTCTTATTTCATTTATGACTTGTCTAACTCTATATATTTAACAAATGCTAATAGAACTTTATGTACTCAATTGCTGTTGCATGTTATTCTAAACATCCTTTTTGATATGATGGTTGCTTTGTTATCAGGGAGGACAGAGTTTACTGCAGAGGAGGATCCACATGTCATCGGTGATTGTATTAAAGTATAAATTTTTAATTTTTTTCCCTTAGATTTAATTATAATAACTTAGGTTTACTAGTCATAACTATTGGTTGATGAGTCATAGCTCATATTTAATTTTTTTTTTTTTTGGTTTTGACTATTTGGAACCTTGCTTTGCAGCATGTTCTCCGGGAGCTACCATCATCTCCAGTTCCTGCATCCTGCTGTAATGCGTTGCTGGAAGCATATAGTAAAGTTCCCTTGCAACTTGTTTGCCTATGCTTTGTAAATAAAAATATTCATAACGAATGCTCTAATATTTTTAAGATAAGTCGAGTAGAAGAATGTGATATAACTTCAAGAGATAAGGCTAAGGGTTTAAAATGATGAAATGTCTCTGGTGTACTATATAATTGGAGTGAATATCATAGAGCCTTAAAGATAAATTTTATAAAACAGCGATTAGATCAATTATGTTGTATTGTTCTCGAGTGTTGTGCAATTAAGAAGTGATTGTTATGTAAGTTAGAAATGTGAATGTTTGACATGTAAGGTAGAACTGGATCCTAAGATGAATATGTGAAAAAAAAAACTAGAATGGATGGATTGGTAAAGGTTTATATTAGAAGGATGCTTGAGGTAGCATCTACTAAATACAAAGACGTGAAAAATAGACTTGGGTTGTTCTGGTGTGTGCAATGACAGAGATGATGCACCAGTTTGATAGATAAAATTAATATAAGAGATTTGAGAAGAAAAAGGATAGACCCAAGGTAATTTGGAGAGAAATTGTGTTATCAAATTTGCACAAAATAGGTTCTACATCTCATGCAACTTTCAATGGATATGAATGAAGAATAAGATTTGATTAAGCTGACCCCAATAGTTGGGATATATAATGATGATGAGCTGCGGTAACATTTTGTTTAATTCCAACTGTAAGGTTAGTTTGGGATCCGAGATGTCTAAATCTGATTCAATTTGAAGAAATTTAACTGTACGAACTTGTCCTTAGATTAATCTAAATGAAGAAAACGGAATGTATCCCTTCATGCTAGTTTTAATATTCATGTAGCCAAACTATACATATTTTTTAAGCTACTCGTTTAGTCTCCGTCTTATTCAAAGGAGAAGAGTCAATCAGTCGTTGAACTGATCATTTGGCTCTACCAAAAAAAAAAAAGCTTGCTACTATTCATTAGTTGGCTTCAGTTTTTCTTTCCCTAGATAGATGTATTTGGGTTAGCCATAGCTGTTAGATTTAGCTTCCATGTGTAAATTGGAGTTATTTGACCCTTAAGCAGGTGCAAGTAAAGTTGACACGTAGTGAGAAAAAGCAGGAAGCTTATTGATAGGATGAGTAGACTAAATGACATTTCTAACCAAATATTACAGTACTCTCTTAATCAAACCTTTTTTTTCAGGCTTTCCATTAATGCTGTGTTTCTTGAAATAATTTAATCGAGAGATAGTACATCAACCTTTACAATCCAACTGTTTGATGCCACTATTAGCTATAATTTTCTTAAAAAATTTCTGTTGTGTTTGGGTAGTGAGTTAGAATTTGTTTAAAATTTTTGAGACATCTCAGTATGTTGTCCAGGACCTGTCATATACTAAATTTGTTAATCTATTTTAGTTGGTGCTTTGCAATTATGTGTCATGTAGAATTGGTATCTAGCTGGTTGGTCTATTGTAGAATTGAAAAGAAAAAAGAGGAGTTGAAAAAAAGATATGGGGTTATAAGCACAATAATTCCTGAAGCTCTTGATGCTGAATCTTCAAAAATTTTGAAGTGTTGGATTCCTAAAGCACTGTGAGATGAAATCCTTAACATCCTGGGTGGGTTGAAATCATCATGGCAGCCATGAAAGTCATTTTATCCAATAACTGATTTTGCTTAAAAACGATCATTAAATTGTCCTTTAGGGTCTGAACTTGGAAGTACTAAAGTAACCTTGGAAGAGTAATGATACGACTAATGATGAAAAATGCATTCAACTACTATGTAGCTCAAAATGCACAAAAAAGTCTTCATTGGATGGTAAATGATTATAGCAGTTCATCAATGAAAATCTTTAGATGTCCTTAATAGATCGCATCAATTTCCTAGAGAAGGAAGTACTCTCCTAAGGAGAGTAAAGGCCATATCTTTCTAAAAGATGGGGTGTTTGGCGCAATAACTCATGATAAATTCTGTACTCACTACAGGGGTGGTGATATCTCCATGTATCCATGGTATATTTATCTGCTTTTGAGAGTGTCAGTAGAAGGGCAAGCAACACAAGTAGAGAATCATCATAATCTATGCAAACTTCACATATAGAATCAACAATAATAATTACTTTGGTGCAAAGGTGCCTCAACTGGGTAAAAGCAAGGTTGTGAAAACCGGACCGGACAACGAACCTGAAGAAGGAGAGGTTCATGGTTCGACCGGTCTAACCGGGGTCGAAATTTAATATAGTATATAAATTTATATTATTAATTTATATAACATACATTATAACAAATTTATAATATATAAATTTATAATACAAATTAAAATTTTTTTGCATCCAACCAGTCCAAATTCGTGGCCCAACAAGCTCAAATTTGTGGCCTAACCAATCCAAATTAATGACCCAATAAAGCCAAACTCACATTCAAGCTCATATAGCATTCATGTAACTTTTTTTATCCCACATCATGGGGGAGTATGAGATGGTTGCCTTTTAACTCTTTATATAGTTCATTCTTTTCTAACAAAACATATATAATGAGATGAGATTATATCCATATATTATGGTATTAAAAATCTCAATATTTAATAAAAAAATTATTTTAAAAAAATGTAATAAAGTAAAATATATTAATTATATTTTATTTAAAAAAATTTAAACCGTTCGGTTCTTTCAAACCTGGACCGGTTCACCAGTTGAACCGCTGGTTCAGTCCGGTTCAGGCCAGTTCTCTTCGAAGCTGATTTTTAAACTGGACCAGATCAGACAACTGACCGGTTCACGGTTGAACCGGTTGAATCGGCCGGTCCAATCCGATTTTTAAAACATTGGGTAAAATGATTGTAACATTAAAAAATAGGGCTAACACTAATGTTAAAGGACAACTCATATATAATGCGTTAGGTCCTATCATTTTACAAATATAATAAAGCATTATAGCGCTAGTGGGTAATGGTTGATTGATTTGGTTCAAAAACTGTGCGAAAGCTAACTAAAGTATATTATAGCCTTTTTTGAAAGATTCTCAGTCACTGTACTGGGTTTGCAATATAGATACATATTTTTGATTTTTATGGTAATTTTCATTTCAAAATTAGCATGTTATCCATTCAAATTCAACAAGAATACAAGTACAAAATGCATTCTTAGAAAATTCAGTAACCATAAGCTGTCTTAAAGCAAAATATTGATAATGAGGGTTAACAACATCAAACTTATAAGCCCTATAAGATTGTTTTAAAGTTTAACGGGTAAAATTTCTCAATGGAAGTTAACATAAGAAAAATATGTGCTAGTATAGTAACATTTTTTAAAGTCACAATAATGATGAAGTTGATCATGACGACCTTCATGGTTTCCAGCATGATAATTATTATGATGATCTGCATGATCATCACTAGGGTAATAAATTTTAGGATTACTCCTTATTTCCGATCCTCTTACAACCTTATTTGTTTGTTAGGTCTCTGTGGTGCTTAAGGTCATAGTGATCTCAGCCCCTGTAGTTCTTATGATCTCTAGTGGACAATGTGGTTCCTATAAAGCTCTAAAATCCTTGACTTACTCTTACCTAAGATGATGATGATCATGAAGTCCTAAGGACATTTCTAATGGGTTGAAGATATTGACTAGGCAGACCAAGATTTCCCTGATGGCATGCCATAATATGTGCATTATCAGGCTATTTTTCAACAAATCTTCAAAAACGTCTGGTTTAAGTAAAAATTTTTTATGAGAACTCATTATTAGATTGGCATGCTATTGAGGGATGCTACGAGTGTTTCTCATCTACTATTTTTAGTTTCATTTAAAATCCTAGTTCTTCCCATACTATCTGACCATTCATAAAACATATATGTTACCAAGGTTTAAAATTGCACAACCGGGTATTGAGGCATTTTTCGTTCGTGAGGCTCGACGTAAGCCTCAAAGTTTTTTGAAGCGTAAGCCTCAAAATCTAAAAGTTGCATAAAGTCAAAACAAAAGTTAAAAAGTGTTTTTAATATAGTATCCAAATAATATGTTAAAGAATGACATATTAAATTTTTATTGAACTATGAACTATGAAGTAACAAATTTATATACATATGAAGTAAAAAATTGTATAAGATGTAAAGTGTTAAGTGATCAATTATTCGAAATAGAATTGAAATCCAAATATTATAGGAATAAAACAACATAAAATATATGAATTGCATAAAAGTATCATATAACATCAAGTTCAGCTCTAATTTTTTCTTTCTCAGTTGCGTACTCATTTATGTTTAATTCTTAAAGAAAGTTGAAATAATTAACAACAACTTAGAAATCATCTGTACTATCATTACTAAAAGGATTTTTATTTGAGTCACTGTTATAACAAATTAGTCTCTTTCCTGCCTCATTCTGTAGGGTCCAATACCTCTCAATTTGTTCCTTCTTCATTTATTTCAGTTATCTTCATCTTTCATAAATGTTTGTCATCAACATAAAGATAATACTCCAAAATTTTAAAATGAGATGGTGGTGGTGTGAGACTTTCTAGTGATCCCCTGCGGCGGCTACGACGGTGGTGACTACGGTGAAGGCGATGGGCTAGAGGTCGAGGCAATTGAGAGGAAGTTGTTGCGGCTTGGGCGTGCAAGGCATGATTTTTTTGGGACTTTTGTATAGAATTTATGTAAGTTTTAAATAAAAAAAATACATAAATAAAGTGAGGCGTACACCGCATGCCAGCGAGGCGAGGCGGGCCTCATCCAAGATGAGGCGTAAGGCTCATAAAAAAAGCTCGAGGCGTAAGCCTCGTTGCATTTTTTACTGTAATTGCGTTGAGGCGAGCCTCATATTGCGCAATTTAAAACAGTGTCTGTAACTTTATTAAATTTATCTTCAAGTGGAAAGGGAGGATCTTTTTGATATTATGAGGTAGAGAATGGTTAGCTTGGGGTTTGAAATTGAAGTTGAGATAGAGTGAATTTGGATTAGGCTGCCAAGTTTTGTGGAAGGCGAACCCGAAGCCGACACGAACCCGAAGCGGGTCGGGTTCGGGTTTCAAAAACCAACCCGTTTATAAAACCAGGTCGGGTTGACCCGAACACGAATAAAGCCGGGTCAGTTACGGGTCGGGTCGGGTTCGACCCGTAACCCGAAATTGACAGGTCTAGAAGAGGTGGGGAGTTGGTTTGCTGTAGATTTTGATGGAGCAAAGAGTGGGAGGATGGTGGTTGGTTGTCAATATGGATTGAGAATTATAGGGAACTTGTTTTGGTAGGGCTTCTCTTGGCTGTACATATGGCAAAAAGGTTGGAAGTTAATGGGTAAGCATGTTTATCTTTTGGGTTAAGGCATTGTTTCAAGTTGGCTCAAGAGTTAAAAAACCACTTTGTTGAACTGGAGAGAGACTAACTAGGTTGAAGGGATTTCATATGGCCTGCTAGAAGCAGATGATGGAAAGAGTCAGTAAATGCCTTGATCTTAAAATTAAATAACAAAAGATCAAGGGGGTCATACCATCAATCTATTGTACAGTGGAAAATTTTCACGTTAGTATCACATTAAATTCAAAATAGGAATAAAAACATTGGATTTATTGGGGAATCGAGAGAGGAAAGAAGAGGGTGGTTTAGGGCTACTCAGCACAAACAACTATTCTAAAAGCAGACTAATGACAAAGGCACAACTAAGGTTTTGTAGAAAATAGTTCAGTCTCCTCAGCTCCATCTGTGTGCTACAATGGCCACGATTTAGTTTTGCTTTCATCAAATGCAGGTTTATGAATCAATCATCCATTTTGAACTTGCTGTAGTTATTACAACGATTACTTGTCTTGAAATGCAAACTAATAATAAGTCTTCATGGAACAACCCTAACAGTAGTTAATCAGCAGAAATCCTCAAAAGTCCTTAATGGGTTGCATCATCATGATCATGAAATATTTCAATTTCCAAGCTAGAGGATCATGCAAACTTTATGTTATTACGGTTTGACTAGGACAGCCCCCACAAGTAGTTAGAATCCAACCAATAATACTAATAATCCTTTGTGATAGGACTCGACATGCTTAAATAACCTTAAATTTGTATTTATTTACTAATCAGTTTTTTCTGCTTGTGATTGATTTTTCTGTAAATTCCTTAGAGAAAGTGATGCAAGTTCTCTAGAGTTTCTATGGTATATTTATTAAATTGTACTGAATCAACCACACGATGAATAAACCTAGAATCAGCCTGCTGTTTTCCTTCTCAATTTTAGTATGTTATTTGTTCTTTCTTAGAATCACAGGAAGTAACATCATAAAAAGAATCAATGATTATCCTAAAATATTTCCCTTCCATGGTCATTTTTTGTCTTTATGCATGTTGTGTTGAACGATTTTGTGACGCGTTTTTTTTCTTATTAACTAGGATTTGAACTTAGGGAAGACCGTTTGAAAGAAATGCGTTCTGCAATATTGAATACATTTCCAGAGCCAAATCGTAAGCTACTGCAGAGGTACTTCCTATTCAGTTTTTTCTTGGTATGACGTTCTTATTCTTTATAAGGTCTTCTAAGACTTTAGTTTGTAATGTTTTAGCTTCAACTTTTCATTTATTTTATCAATAATCTGTATTTGGTTTGCATTATTATGTTTCCTTCTTCAAATGACAAATTTAAGATAAATGAATGATCTAATGCACGCCTAAACCAACTATAATTTTGATGTAGAACTATGATGATTGCAATGATGTTTGTTAAGATTTTACACTTCTTGATTAGAGAAATAACAAATAAATCTACTAGCAAATAAAACGACGAATCAATAAGAAGGGTCACTACCGTTTAGGCTAAGTTGCATAACAAAAGATTTGAAGCTTCAAAATATCGTAGGAAAATAATATTATGTCAAAGTAGTAGCTTCAACAAAATCCCTAGTCTAACAACGAGATTAGTAAACAAATGAAATGCGCTAAAAAATTTACTAAGCTTAGCAGAAACAGGTGAGGGCGTCTTTCGTGACTACAATCAAATCACAAGAAAGGGTTAGACCTAAGAAATATAAGAAAAGGGAAAAGTAGAACCTCCGTCAAGGATCGGCGGCAATCCTCCACTCGACGATCTCAAGTTGTTCTTCAATAGCTTCAACCAAGGTGTCCAAGATGTGCTCTATGTAGTCTTCCACCATATGGTCGATTCTCGGATTGACGTCGAAGAAGGTTGAGTGGAGAATGTGCACAAACCCGTGTTCGTCGTAAGCAAGTCCGTAGTCAGTGTCGGGATCGGCCATTCATGAATGCTAGATGCCAACGTCTTCCCAAGGATTGCTAGTACTCTTGAACGTTGTGAAGAGAAAGAAGTTTCTCTTCAACTTGAAGTGGAGGAGGTGACTAGGTATGGCCGGCCAAGAGATGGAGGCTTAGGAAGAAATTAGGTTCAGATTTTGTGGAGGAAGAAGTGCCAATCAATCCTCTAATTAATCCATGCATGGAATTAATTAAGAGGGGATGGAGAGAGGTAGGGGCGGCGGCATGAAGAGGGGATTAGGAGGGAAATTTGTTTCCAAATCTCAATGCCTGTTTTAGGAAAGGAGATAAGGTGTGGGGTTATGAGATTTCGGCCAAGGAGGGATGTGGGGATTTGGAATTATTTCCAAAGTAAAGAATTGGGTTTTAGGAAAGAAATAAATGGGAATTAATGGGATGGGGGGCCGGCGACATCCATAGGAGGGAGATGGATTTAGGGAGAGTAATTAATATTTGCTTGATTTGGATTTGAATATTTGGAAAGGGATATTTAAACCCAATTTGAATTTTAAATTCAAATAGGATTTAATTAGGAAACTTTCCAAAAATAGGATACGTAAATTAGGAAATAATTCAAACTCAAATTAAATTTGGATTTGAATTAAATAAGTTTCCTAACCTAGGAAGACTCAAATGGAAAGATTTGTCACAAGCAAAAGGGGAGTCAACACATGGAGGTCGGCTTCTTGACTGGGCTTGCCACCGGGTTTGGGTGAGGTGGGGTGGGATCGGGTGAGGAGGGAGACGAGGGAAATTATCCCAAGGTCCAAAGGGGAGATGGGCTTGTTGTTGGCCGGTGGTGGAGGTGGTCGTTGGGAAAAGAAGAAGATACAAAATAGAACCACGAACCCGACTCGTCTAGGTTGGTGGGTGATGCTCCGTTCTCCCTTTCCAAGGGATCTCTCTCCGATCTCTCAAGCTCTCACAAGAACTCATGCAAGGAAAGAAATTTTAATCAATCATTCATTTTCTTGCAAAGAGAAACATAGGGGCTATAAATAGCCTCTTACATAAGACTCAAAAAATAGAAAAGACGACAACTCTCTCAGGGCTTACATACGATCTCTTAATAAAAGGGTACAACGAGAAACTAAATAAAACAAATACAATACGACATCAAAAATAAGAAAATACATGAAATAAATAAAAAATACAATGACTCAATCGTGGCCGTAGATCGGCGGCCACGCCTTTGATAAACCTTCCATGATCTGATGTCCCCATCAAATTTTCTCTTTATATCCCTTGGATGTGATCTTTGGTTTGAATATGAACATTTTCTAAATAGGTAGATTGGAAGAAAAAATGTTTGCTATTGATGCTTGTGATATCATCTCGATATATTGATTAATTTTTTGTTTAGCAGGCATAAAGATATCAATGTAGCCATAATTATTTACTCTTAAAGGCCTAAAAATATTATCTTTTTACCCTAAAAAATGTTGGATGTTTGCAACTGATTATGAAATTTTCCATTGCAATATTCTATTATAGATGCCAAAATTTTAGTGAGGGAGTATCCATATGCTCAGCAGCTTTGGATCGGAGTAACATTGTCTATTAAATACCTGAAATAAATAAAATTTGGTTCTATTGGCCTAAGCCTTGCGGGGTACTACCATATAATTAAGAGGCAATGTGAATAGATGGAGTGTATTTGCAATGTAGTTAGTAAAGAAATTTATTGGACAGTTTATTTTATATTTGAACTTCAATGAATAGGTTGGAGTTGAACTTCAATGAGTTTGCTTTGGTTTGAGTTTTGTATTTTGCAAAAGCTAATATTTGGAAGGGCCAGGTTCAAAATCTTAAATCCTCAAATTTATTTTTGGTTGAGCCTTATGATTGAATTTATATGGCTCAAATTAAAACTCTCAACCCTAGTGCCATATTAATATTCAAAAGGCCAATGTTCTAGTAGTACCTATACCCACTTATTTTTTTCTTGTGTCTTTGCCTACTAGTTGTCTTTCCGAGTCTATGAAGTGCTAAACCTAAACCCACACTTTTACTTTCAACTCTTTGATACTTCTCCGTTCATTGTTGGCATTGTTGAATATAAGGGTATTTCTTCTCCTATTTATATACTGTATTCTTCTCCTTGTGGAGCTGGCAAACCCTAGTAGTTCGTATTCATCCTAATAAACCTAAATGGTGAAATCTTTTTTTATTTGTGTTTTCTTAAGATGTTGGTTTTCTGCTCACTCATTGTGTGTCTTATGTTTCTTTTCTACTGATTCTAAATGTTGTTGTCTTGCCTCACTATGAACTACTTTGGCTGTATCTGCAATCATTTGTGAAGTCCAGCTTAAGTGGGTTGCTTTTATGCACCTTTGCCTTGCTTTACATGGTTTTAAAAATTGCGTATAGAAGTTCATTTATGGTTTTCCCTGATTATATGGCATGTGCTGTAGTTCATGAGATTAAAAATGTTTCTTTATTTTGCTACTGTGAATTAACGATTAAATTTTTTAGATGCATCATAAATTTGTTGTTTGAATATTTGATAGCTTAAGATTGATATACATTGTGGGAAGTATGATTGCTAGCCTTATTGGGTGGGGTTGTTGTTTGTTTTAGATGATAGATTGTTATGATTATAGTTTCCTTGCATAGTGTTTTCTTAGTTTCTATTTTTTTAATTTTTGCTTAGATTGCATTTTGTTTGAATGATAATATTTATATAGAAATTTTGATAAACTTGAATGAAACAACTCTTTTGTCCCCTATTGTCTTTAGTTATTATCATTAACTTGAATGAAATAATTTCTCCTAGGTGAAATGTCCACCCATTCCTAACATCAGCCTAGCAATAGTTCTAGTAAGCTTCGAGCTGACATTGCATGTAATTTGATAGAAAGTGTTGGTGAAGTTAGCTTTATAGAGGAGGACAAAAGACATAGATCACTAGTTTTGGAGCATTTATAATTAAAATTAAAAATTTGTAATAAAAAATAAAAAATATATATTGAAAAATGAAAATGTAATTATTTTGCAAAGTCATATGTGAGACAAAAAACTTTGCACGACATCTTATATTGTTTGTAGGTATTTAACAAAAATTATTACACTAAAGATGATGATAGTGGGGGGAAATAGCAAAAGCTTTTTGATCCAATTATTGACTACATTGAGGATAATGAATTAATTTCCTCTTTCGGTGTCACAATTGTTTATGAACATTGTATAATTTAAAATATTATTGCTAAGGTGACTTTAATATTTTATGATTATAAAGTTAATATATTAATCTTTATGTACTCCTTTTTTAATGTAAATAGCTTTATCTTTTAAAGATTGAACATGTCATAGGCTTTAATATTTCATGCGAAAGGGGAAACTTCATATTTGAAATTGAAATTTAACGAAAGAAATTGCCAAGTTTATGTAAAAAGGAAGTAGTTTTTGTGCTTGTGTAGATTATTTTTGTATGATTAAAAGTATTAATCGGTTAGACATGACTCAATAAGAGGGGTGAATTGAGTCTCATGCAAAATTTTGATACCTTTAAACACAAATTAATCAATAAATTTATTTTAAAAATTGAATTTAGATCTTTTATTGTGAGAACTTGCAATAATTAATTATTTGATGAAATGTAACCAACCAACCCCGATAAAAGAAATAAACTAAAGATACAAATGATTTTTACTTGTTTTGGCCTTATGGCCTTTTTCTATGCCTAGGTGCAATCATCATCTGCAAAGAAGTGATGCAAGCAAAAATTTGGGAAGGGCCCCAAATTTTTGCAAGCAAATAGTAATGCTTCCTAGATAATAGAAAATTACATAAATTGCCAAAAAGATACAAAATACTGCAAAAACACGCTTTTATATCATAATAGTAAGACACTTACAACTTTTGACTAAATGACCTAGGATATACCAACTTGCTCTGATACCAAATTGATGCAAGCAAAAATTTGGGAAAAGCGGACTTGTGCCTCTTCCCCTCCCTTTGCCTTTTCGGTTTCTGTTGGCTGTTGATGTTCCCCTGGTTCTCCCTTTCTGTTTTCCCTTGCTGGCTGGTTTCTTGTGCCTGCTGCCTTGTCTCCTGTGCTGGCTCTTCGGGTCCCTTGCTGGCTGGTTTCCCGTGGCCTGCTAGTAGGTTTTCCGTGGGCTGTTTCTCTGTTTTTCTGTGCAGTATTCCTGCTAGCTGTTTGCTGCTTTTGGTCTTTCATTTGGTGACTTTTGGCCTTTCATTTCCCTCTTTTTAATTGAGATATTTAATGTGTTTTGGTGGCTGTTCGTCTCCCCTTTCTTCCTATATATAGGGTTTGTTTTGAGGCTTGAAAAGGATGGAAAAAATGCAATTTTTGGACAGCAAAACCTGAGTGTTTTTTGGAAAGCTTGAGAGCTTGTTCCACTTCTTCTTCCTCTCTATCTTGGGATAACTTACGAGTTACTCCTCTACTTCGTCTAATCTTCTAACCTCATTCTTCTATCCGCAAGTGCAACTCCATATGTATCCTTCTTCTCAAGCAATGTTATGAAATGCAACTTTAGGTGTTTGTGTGTTTGTGTGTTTGTGTCCAAGTTTGTAAGAGTCTATTATAATATGAAAGTTATTTTTTTTAATATCTATTTTGCCTATTTTCTAGTATTTTATGTATTTTCTTTTATCCTAGGAAGTTTATCTTTTGCTCGCAAAAATTAGGGGCCTTCCCAAATTTTTGCTCGCATCAATTTGGTATCAGAGCTTAGGTTTGTGTCTTCCTAGGTTTGTGTCTTCTTAAGTCTTGTGTCTTTTTAAGTCAAGATGGATGAACTTATGTGATGAGAAATTCGATATGAAAAAGAAACTATTACAAGGCCAATTCAAGCAAGAACGTGAGAAGATCCTGAAGAAATATGAAGCCCAAATTCAAGAGCTAGAGGCGCCTTCGTTACATCCTCAGAAGAAATTTAAAGCTTCCTCTTCAGGAGATGAGCCTTTTTAAGTGGGGGAGAATCTGATGTAGGCAGGGGGGGTTTCAAAACAAGTTGAGTTGAAATTTTTGTAAGTTTTACTAAAGTCAGCTCATTAATGAGCCTCTTCTTATTATTCAGCTCATAATTTGTGTATTTATTGCCAAAACTAGATTCATTCCCCCTCTTTTACTCCCCTCTCTAAAGACTCTTTGGTTTCCTCACTAGTGTCTCTTCCCTCCCCTTGTCTTCTTGGTTTCTACTAGCTGTTGATGTTCCAGTGGTCCTCCCTCTCGATTTTCCCCTCATGGCTGTTTTTCCCGTGAACTGCTGCCTTGTCTCCTGTGCTAGTTCTTCGGGTCCCTTGCTGGCTGGCTTCCCGTGGCCTGCTGGTGGGTTTTCTGTGGGCTGTTTCCCTGTTTTCTGTGCAGAATTTTTGTGTTGTTTTGGGACATATTTCTTGACTGTTTATGGCCAGAAATCTGGACTGAATTTTTGTCCTTTCAATTGCTCCTTTTAATTGATTTAATTAGAGATTATGGTGGTTGTTTGGCTTCCCTTTTCTTCTATAAATAGGTGTTTTGGAATGAAAAAAGTGTTGCTTATGATGAGATTTTTGGAATAGAAACCTGCGGGTTTTGTTGGAAAAGCTTGCAAGCTTGTTCCACCCTCTCCTCTTCTTCTCCTCTAGGATAGCTTGCGAGCTATGCCTCTCTTCGTCTCAACTTCTAACCTCTTCTTCTCTCCATGGTGATTACTCCAAATGTATTCTTCTTCTCGATGAATGCAAGCTTCTTTAGGTGTGGTATTTGTTCGTGTTTGTAAGAGTCAGAAGTTGTAAGTGTCTTTCTATTATTATATAAAAGTGTCTTTTTGTAGTATTTTGTATCTTTTTGGCAATTTATGTAATTTTCTATTATCTAGGAAACATTACTTTTTGCTTGCAAAAATTTGGGGCCCTTCTCAATTTTTTGCTTGCACCAATTTGGTATCAGAGCAAGTTGGTATATCCTAGGTCATTGAGTCAAGTTGTTGTATGAGTCTTGGTGTCATGTGAGTTTTTTTTAGTCATGAGTTTGCCTACATCAGATTCTCCTCCGGTTGAAAGAATTCATCTCCTGATGAAGCTTGAGTTTGCTTTGAATATTGTCCTGAGGCTTCCGAAGGTTGATTGCATGGACTATGACTCATGACTAAAAAAAAATTCACATGACACCAAGACTCATACAACAACTTGACTCAATGACCTAGGATATATCAACTTGCTCTGATACCAAATTGATGCGAGCAAAAATTTAGGAAGACCCCTAATTTTTGCGAGCAAAAGCTAAACTTCCTAGGATAAAAGAAAATACATAAAATACTAGAAAATAGGCAAAATAGATACTAAAAAAAAACAACTTTCATATTATAATAGACTCTTACCAACACGAACAAAGACCACACCTAAAGAAGCTTGCATTCATCGAGAAGAATGATACATTTGGAGTGATCACCATGGAGAGAAGAAGAGGTTAGAAGTTGAGACGAAGAGAGGCATAGCTCGTAAGCTATCCTAGAGGAGAAGAAGAGGAGAGGTGGAACAAACTCGCAAGCTTTTCCAACAAAACCTGCAGGTTTCTATTCCAAAAATCTCATCATAAGCAACACTTTTTTCATTCCAAAACACCTCCTATTTATAGAAGAAAAGGGCAACCAAACAGCCACCATAATCTCTAAAAAAACATTTGGAGAAAAGGGCAGCTAAACAACCACCATAGTCTCTTTTTGTAGTATTTCAAAAATCTCATCATAAGCAACTCTCTTTTAAAACAGCTACAAACATCTCTATTTATAGGCACAAAAAGGGAAGCCAAACAGCCCAAATATCTCCCATTAAACCCATTAAATTCAAATTAATGGAAGGCCAAAAGACAGCAAAACAGCAGCAGGAATACTGCACAGAAAAACAAGGAAAAAGTTCACGAAAATCCCCATCAACAGCTACGTTAAACCAGCCAGCAAGGGACCCGAAAAGCCAGCACATGAGACAAGGCAACATTTCACGGGAAAAGCATCCATGAAGGGAAAACCGAGAGGGAGAACCAGGGGAACAACAACAGCCAACAGAGACCGAAAAGGCAAAGGGAAAGGAAGAGACACAAGTCCACTCTATAATAATGAGAATACCTTTTTGATTTTATGAGCTAGAAAGTGCATTTATTTCCCAATCATTGAGCTAAATAAGAAGAAGAAGCTCATTAATGAGCTGATTTTAGAAGCTCACCAAAATTTAAAACTCAACTTGTTTTGACCCCCCCTTGCCTACATCAAGAAGCCACAACAACACTCTTTCGCTCAATGGAAGCGGAAAAGCATTACACAAACTCTCGCTTTCTTTTTGGAGAATCTTATCTTACTCTTGGATTATGGGTAAAGATACCACCTCAAAGTTTTTCTTTAGCAATAACTTAGCTAAACAAACAAAATAATAAGCATAACAAAATAAAATACGCTTAAGAGCAAAATTACTTGCAGAGCTATGGGCGTGTGAATATTATGAGCACAAAGAATCAAAATGTTGAAGATGGCTTTTAAAAAATTAGCTAGATTTGATTTTTCTCTTATCTTTTTTCTTTCACAGAAGGGCTTTAGAAAATTAGATTTTTGGAGAAATAGCTCTTAGAGTTTTTCAATAATTGCATTAGCCTTTACCCACCTTTTATGTAATATATTTATATAATAGCTTGTAGATTCAAATTATATTGACCTATACGTTAGAATTTCAAAACATGGTGATTCTCACATTTACTAGCTCCAATTACTATTGTATGTTAATGCCCTTAATTACTCTTGTAACAGATTGATTCTGCTAATTAAAAATTTTCATGTTTAACATTGTGGGTATCCTATATACTTAATAGAGGCCTGGAAAGGTGTTTGCAAATCCCATAAATAATTAAATTTTTTGGACAAAAACTCAACACGTACTAGAGCATTTGGTTGAAGTACAAATGCCTTTGTTAAAAATTAATTTATATTTAAGATAGTTCTTTTTCCAGCTTTAGTTCACAATTTTGGCCGTATCCATTCATGACACAATCTAAAATTACTTTTTACTTTTGCTCAGGGTTTTGAAAATGATGCACACCATTGCTTTGCATACTACTGAGAATCGGATGACTCCATCTGCTGTTGCTGCTTGTATGGCACCTTTGTTGCTACGTCCCCTTCTTGCTGGTGAATGTGAACTAGATGATGACTTTGATGCAAACTGTGGTACTTCTGCTCAGCTTTTAGCTGCTGCAAATGCTGCGAACAATGCTCAGGCCATCATCACAACTCTTTTGGAGGAGTATGAGAATATTTTTGATGTAAGGCTCTTTTGTTATTTTAGAAATAAATACTGAACTTTTGTTTGACGTTCAGTTTTATATTGATGGCAACTTCTGAACATTGTACAATCCCTATTACTGATGACTTCTTGTGTTAACTGTGCTATGCGGTAACCTATATTTGAATGGATTTATTGTATGAAGTTTATGGAAAAAAGGGTTGTGTGGAAGTAGAAAAGGAATTAGGATGGATGCTTTGTTTCCATGGTTTGCTTCTATGCATGTTGATGTTTCTGTTGCGGTAGAAATGCAGTTGGGTGATTGTCTATTAAATGTTTGCAGTGAAAGTTTATACTTAATAAATGATTGGGAGAGGATGGGTGATGCGCCTTGGATGCAAAAAACAACAAATAAAAGAGAATAATAACATAGGACCACCAAGATAGGGCTAATTTTCTTATTCCTTCTTCAATAATAATGCAAGATACAATTGATCTTCTTTTCGAAAGGTAGATCAGCTCTCCCACAAACCCTAGACGCCGATAGGAACTCACAACAAACACTAGGAAAATAAACTCAGCAATATCATACCCTAAACCATAGGCAAACTTCCCCTTAAATAGCCCTTGAACATAATAACACAATTTGAACCTTCCTAATTAGCATAAACATAATTTTAAAAACATTTTTAAATAAATAAAACCTTCCTAATCAACATAAACTTAATTTAGGAAAGCTTCCTAAATAATTAAACATGATTTAGAAAATCTTCCTAAACAATTAAACATGATTTAAGAAAAATTTCCTAAACAATTAAACATTTTTTAAGAAACATTTCTAAACTATTAAACACTTCATAAATAGCATAAACACAATTAAGAAACTTTCCTAAACAACTCTCCCTTAATTAGAAACCTTCATAAATGTTTTTTTCTTAATTATGAACTTTCCTAAACAACTTCCTTTTTATTAGGAACCTTCTTAATTAGCTCCCCCCCCCCCTAAAGCATATCAACACTCCCCCCGTCCTAGAAATGACCCTCAAGGTGTAGGAATAGAACTCTCTCCCGATCATCTGTTTTAACAACAAAATCCGCTTCGATGAGAACCACTTAGCACTTGATCCATTTCTATATCCTTGCGCATGCTTCAGTCTAGAGAATATACCATTTTTCAACAGTTTAAAATCTTTGTCAATGCCTTAACTTTTTATCCACTTGCCACAGTTATCTACTATTTTTTTCCATCCAATGCTAGAAAGATTAAAAAGAAATAGAGCAAAAAACTAGGTGACAACAAGGAATCACATGGATGCAGTGAGAAGCATAAAGATTTGTGAATCAGTAGTTGCATATCCATAGATCTGACCCTTTGTAAAATGACTTCTATAGTACATCTTATAGTTCTCTGCAAACTTTACATGTTGCCCAACAAATCCTCATCCAATAGCTCTATATTTTGCTTCTCCATGTAGGATTGTTCGTCCAAAGTAATGGGATTTTGTTCCAAGTAAGAATGTAAAGAACACTAAGTACCATTGAAGTTGCATGATGATTATGTCTCCCAATGCAGTTATGATTCCCCTTTTCAGATGCCATAGCAGCCTTTAGAGGATTATTTCCTCTCATCAGTGCCTATTTCATAATGGTAGATTCAAGCCCCCTTAATGACAGGTAAGGCTTGCTATATAGGAAAATGTGGACTATGATAACAACCATCATTGAGATGACATAGAACCCTATAGACTTGAAGTAGTAAGAAAGCATGCGGAAGAAGTCAAATCGGTGTCCCAAGTGATAGATATCTTTGCTAAATATTTGTTCTCCATTGCTACAGGCAACCTTTACTTCAAACAGGGAGATTTGGTTGAGTCCATCATCACAACCCTTACTCATACTCATGGTGGGTGCTATTTCCTTGCCTTAACGTCGAGTTGAATCCTGCGAAGATTTCCTCACTTAAGTTGATTTCACAAGAATGCTTGCTTATGCCACCTTTAATGAAGTGAAGAATACTGTCAAATACATCTACATGCCTGTATTGGAAGCATTCCTTCATTAGAGTAGCCAAAACCTTTTGTCCAATTGTCAAAAAACTTATTTCTTGGTTTGACATGAACCATCCCAACGATGAAATATTTACTATAAAAATGTGCCCACGTACACCAAGAATGGTTGATGGGCGCAATCCATGGTCTTCATTGAACTCTTTCAAAAGATTTATCATTTTCAAAACCTTTTCCAAAGAGTTATCCTAGTTCATATCAATTGCCTGAAGAACATCCCCTCTGGTAAAGAGAACTGCATGGTTTTGATTTTCTAGCTCACCTTCACCAATTTTTGTTGCTCCAAGTAATTTGATGCAATAGATTTGGCTTTGCAAGTTTATTTCTTTTCCCTCTTCATTCACATCTTTCCCTTTGTCGATCTGTTTATCCTCGGAAGAAGCTTGTGTATCACTTATTAAGTTCTTACTCTTCTTCTCCTCAATTATTCGCATTTTCAACTTTTTCACCCTAGGATCGCCACTGCCCCAACTTCTTCCTCCTCCAGTGTAGCAGTTATCGTGATCCCTCTATATCTCCCCCGTGTATCAAGGGTTGGACTTCCAACTTTCTTTCATTCGCTTCACATGACCCAATCCCCATGGCTCGGCCCATCCTCCCTCTACGATCGTCCACTCTCCTTGCCAAAAAAATTCTTCCATAGTGGGCGACCACTCCACCTCCACAATAAAACTCCCTTCATGCTGTCCCCCAATTCGAAAACTCTATTTCTCCCCTTCAAGAAGCCCTAGGGGATGGCTTTTGATGAAAAGAGCTCTTTTCCCCTAACTCTTTCCGTTCGATCTCTTTCCCTTTAGATTTGGCCAAGGGAATCCCAATCAAATCTTGATTAGGGTTAGCAATTGGAATCGTCGGTGGGGTTTTAGATCGCATCTCCATGAGCTTTCTCATCATCTCCTCCAGAATTTCCTTTCCCTTTGGTTCAGCCCTAGGAATCACTGATGAAGCTTTCGATTGCATCTCGATTATTTTTTTTTCATCATATCTTCGAAATTCCCAAACCTTTCTTATATTGTTTAGATACGTTCATTCATTGATCACATATCTACTCGTAGTTTCCCTATTTCACCTTCCAACATTTTTTCTAATGCCTCAACTCTTCTTCCGGTCATCAGTACTCGGATCAAGGCGTAAACAACAAAAATAGGCAACTTTGATGCGAATCTGACCTCCAAACAGCAAAATTCAGCATCAATATGTTGGTTGGGCCGCATCAACATGTTGATTTTTTATGTTGATTGTGCCGCATCAACATTTTGAAGATCAACTTAAGAGTACTATACTTGTATTTGGTGGAACTTGGTTACTTGGCGAAGCAAGAAATAATTAGCAGTAGATAGAAACAGTGCAAAAGTTGAATTTAGAGTTGTCTTTTGAAATATGTGATTGTATATAGCTCAATATGCTACTTGAACAATTAAGAATATTACTAAGAAATCTAAGAAGATGCTAAAACGCTTCCATAAGCATAACAAAGAACCCCATTCATCATGACAAAATAAAACACGGAGAAATAGATTGTCATTTTATGGAAGAGAAGCAAATAGGAATGAATCATGAATCTCATATACACTTTTGCAAATCTTCAAACAATTAATATTCTTACAAAGTCACTATCAGGTGCCAACTTTGAAAATTTGATGTCCAAACTAGTAATGTTTGATATCTGCTCCTCAACTTGAGGGTGAGTGTAGATATTTGCCTTTCTCTCTTCAAAGTATAGAGAAATATGAAAACATCTTCCTATATTGTAAGGATTTTTATTTGTTGAATAAAAGGTAATTTTGGATAACTAGTTCAAATCTCTTTCGCTTTGTTATTTGTTTTTTCTATGCTTTTTAGGGAGCTTTGAATTGTAATCAATTAATGAATGATATGGGGATTTCAGCTTTTGAAATGCAGTCCCACCCCCACTAAAGTTTCATGCATAAAAATATAGAAAGAAGAGAGCAATAAAAGCTTCAGGTTTCTTCATATTCTGCATCATCCTTTAGAAGACTAGAAGTACACGTCCTCACACATCTTTCATCATGCATCATAAATTTTTAATGTGATTAATTAGCTGATGATGTCCATGAGGAAAAAGAAGAAAAATGATTAGAGAGAATGGAATCTTTACAACTTTATGCCACTTTGATTTAAGTACAATGTTATTCATAGATAGGCTTAAAAGTCTTCCGTTATTTTATGCATAATCTCGTTACTCTCCATAAATGGAGCAAAAACTCTCTATGTACTCTATACCTCACTCTTTGCAAGGCTCCCTTATGACCAGGGGTCATATTCCATTGAGCTTCCTGTGAAATTACAACAACTTGAGTGACCCGACCATTTATACTTACACCAATCAGTTTTAGGCTTCGTTTGGGACGTTTTTCTTACTGCTTCTTAAAGCAGGTTTTTAGTATAAAAATTTAATTTTTGTACTAAAAAGTTGCTTTAAGAAGCAATGAAAAAGCTATCCCAAACGAAGCCTTAGTGTCACGATAACTCAACCTGCAAGCTTGTGTCGGGAAAGGCTATCATTATGGTTATTAACAGCTGCTGTGGAGCTTGTCACAACTTATCATGGCTGAAACTCGGGTACTTCAAACATTGCATGAAGTGCAACCATATGTGCTTTGGAATTTTGACAAAGTTGAATTATTAACGATGCCATCTAGAATGTTAAAATTTCTCTTGCTGGTTTCTCTTGGCGCTTTCTGTGTTTGAGGAAACACATGTTACATCTTTTATTTTTATTCCACTGGTCACTATTTATGCCAACATTATAACATCTTGCTCTTACAAGTACCTGTATGCTTCTAATCATGGGGCATATTATTTCTTGAACAGGGTTGTAATCTTCAAAGATGCTCTTTATCACCAGGCTCTCATATTGAAGATAGTGATAGTGAAGAATCTGATGAAGATGAACATATAAATGTCAAGGATGCTGGATATTGCAATGCTGAGAAGGATAAAGATGCAGAAATGAATGTTGATCCTGAACGCGTGCTTAGTGGAAAGCTGAGTGAAAGCAGTGGTTATGCAGGCAGTGACCTTTATGACTATAAGGTTCTATTTAATGCATTATGGAACCTTGTGACTACAAGCTTCTTCTTAATGTTTTATGGAACCATCCGCAGCATCATTATTGATTTCAATTCCCATCTCTTACAGTCTTTGGTGATGATATGTTCCAATACTTCTTATCGGAAGAAAATTTTTTTTCAATGTTTATTGTTTTATATTTTATCCTTCATCTTCAATCCTTTGTATCGGTGTAATGTGCTCTGTGGGTTTGTCATTCTTTTTGATGTTTTTCATGATTCAGGATTCTTTATAAGGAATTTGTCCTCCCGTTTAGGGAAACATATAAGAGCTGGAGTTTTGAAAGCTTTTCTTGTTTGGTTTGGCAGTGGGTGGGCTTCAAGCAATGCTTTGGTTATCATTACTATGGTGACGTCATTGGTTCAAATCATGAAAATAATGTTAGACTGGGTCCCTCCTGGATCGGTTCTTGGGGGCTGATTTAATTAGAAAATGTTTTCTAATTGAAGAGGGTAGATTTGGGGGCTGATTTGGAGGGGATTAATTAGGAAATATTTTCCAATTGATGAGAGCAAATTTGAGGGCTGATTTGGAGGGAATTAATAAGGAAATGTTTCCTAATTAAAGGGGCTGATTAAAGGACTTATTTGGGAGTGAAATAATTTAGGAAATATGACAGATTTGGGAGGGAATTGGGGGAGGGCTGTTTGGGTATTTGTTATTTATTGTTTGCTTTAAGAAGGTAATTTTACTAGGTTAGGGGTTGTTGAAATTAGATTGTTCTTAGGTTGAGCGGGGTCTAGCTAGTGGCTAGGGAATTGGGAGGGCTAGATCTTTCTCTCCAATTGAAGATCCAAGTGTATATTGTCTTTCTTTCATAACTATTTCAATAAAAAGGTGTCTTTGTGAGCTATTCTTATTTTCTGTTGTTGTCAATTTCTAGTTTGCTGAAATTAAATTTCAGCCTAGGAATTTCACAAATTATGCATTCACTTCCTATCAAATAACTTTTGCAATGTAAAAGTAAGGGTGCATGCATCCCCACCTACACAATAACCCACATTATGAAAAATCTCATCTTATGGTTGCACCTCTTTTTAACCAACAAAATGTGAAACTTATTTCTATTGCATGATATGGAGAAATTGAGCCTTTCAGGCTATTTATTGTTATTGAAAGGGATGAAACCCTAGGTTCAAAGATTCATGTTGTTGAATCATAATTTATAGTACTTATACAAGCATGCCAAGTTTGCTATGTGTTTAGTATATCTATCTTATTATTGTAAAATATTTTGGGGTTTTTCAATCTTTTAGTGTGGCTTCTTCTTAATGCCTTTTATTGGGACCTCGAGGCTAATACAAAGTTGATTTTTATAAGTTAGTTAGATCTTATGATTGATTCATTATTACTTTGTGCACTCTAATTTGTGAATTATTATTTATCAATGTTAGTGCATTGTTTATGCAATTTAGAATGATTTATAATTTTTAAGTACAATAACAACCCTGAAAGTTATGCTAAATTGCCTTAGGTTAAGCTTTATGACATCCCAGGTGTGAGATTGAACAAAATTGACACAACTAAGATCTGAATGTTAAAAAGCATAAATGGAGATTTTAAATATTCAAAAGCATTATCAATTTGAATGAAATTGAATGAAAATTGTGTTTTTATTTTTTGATCTAATAGTTTGAATATAAATAAAACTTTTGATTGACATTTTAATTAATAAACTCAATAAATATTGGTGTAGTCATCAATAAGTAAATACACGAGAAGCCCAAATTAGTAATTATAGTTTAGTTCCAAGTCATGTTCCATGTTGTTCATACAAGTCCTCTGCATAGTTGTTCAAGTTTTGTGCATTTCTGTTCAAGTACAGGTCCTCTATATTGCTGCTCAAGTGAAGTATTTTTATTATTCAGTTCTTGTATACTTCATTGTGAATTTTGGCTACGTTGGTGTATGTTTTTTGCTGATGATATTCTTCTTGTTGATAAGACTAGAGAGGGAGTTGAAGGTAAACTCGAATTATGGAGGTCAACCTTAGAGTCTAAAGGTTTTCATTTGAGTAGATCTTGAATTGAATACATGGAGTGTAATTTTAGTAGTAATAGATATAGTGGGGGGTTTGTGACTTTGAGCGATCCAGTCATTAATAAGTATACTTATTTTAGATATCTTGGTTCTATTGTTCAGAGTGATGGTTAAATAGATAGAGATATTATTAGTAGAATTCAAATTGGATGGTTGAAGTGTAGGAATGCTTCGGGTTTGTTGTGTGATAGAAAAATACCTCTCAAACGTAAGGGAAAATTTTATAAGATGGTAGTGAGAGTTGCAATGCTTTATGGTGCAGAATGTTGGCCATTAAAAGAGAAGCATAATATTAAGTTAAGTGTAGCTGAGATGAGGAAGCTCAGGTGGACGAGTGGCTTTACTCTTAGAGACATGATACGAAATGAGCATATACATGAAAAGGTTGGAGTAGCTCCAGTAGAAGATAAAATTAGAGAGAGTCGCCTTAGATGGTTTGGTC